CAGTGGGCCCGGTGTGTGCCCATCCATGGTGTCGCCAGACAGCAGCTGGCAGCGAGGAGGGACGGGTCAGCGAGCTGCCCCGAGCCTGCCCTGCTCTGCATGCCAGGCAGCACTGCGGGCGACGCGGTCACACAGGATGTGAGCATCCGGTCTGCGGTGACAGCCCACTGAGGGTGCCCGGGCTGGGCGCTGTGGCTCCGCAGCTCGTCACACAGAGTCATGCACACAGCCGTGCAGGCTGACAGATGTGGCGCTGCCAGCAGCACCCACGCTCTGTGGGTGTCCCCCTCAGCGGTCAGAAGAGGCAGGAAGGACGCGTGGGGGTGACAGAGGCGACAGGCGCCATGCTGAGCGGGCGGCCTCAGTGGAGGGACGTGTCAGCCCTGCGGCGTCCCCCGTGGCGATGGCAGACTTCAGTTCCTTTCGTAAGCGCCGCTGGGCACAAAAGTGCCAGCATGGCCAGTAGATGGTCAAAGGGAACGGAGCTGAGCTCCCGGGAAGAGACGGCCGCTGTGGGGAACGAGGCTCGACCGCCTCGCGTCCCCTTCGCACGCGCCCGGTCCCGGCGCGTCTGTCCACGGCCCGCGGCCTGTCACGGTCACTGCCTCGCGGGGCCTCTCGCCGTGGCCCGGACGCTGCTTCTTGCTGCCGCTCTTCAGGGAGCGCGGCAGCTTGCCATGCCAAAGCCACCGTCTGCCACGGGCCCCCGGGGAAGGGGAGGCGGGGCGGTTCCTGGGTGCGGGTGGGTTTTAAGAAGACCGCCTCGGGTATCACGGGGTCTGTGTGCCGCCCGGTGCAGAGGCGAAGATGCCGCGGGCACCCTGAGGTCCTTCGGGCGTGGGTCTACTTGGTGCCCCTGCGCCGTGGGCCTTAGCCTGCACCTCGGGTCCCAGCGGCACTCGGCCCTGAGCCTAGCAGAGGACCGGGGACACCCGGCGGTCCACGACGGCCCAGGAGGAAGTGACAGAGGCAGAGGGAGAAGCATCTTTATTCCAAGAGTCCTAAGTTTCTTAGATCAAAATGTCGTTGACAGAAACCTGACGGCTCAGCAGGCCCCGGCAGTCTGCGGGAGCGGAGGCCGGCATGACAAGCCAGCCAGCCGCAGAGAACCCGAGGTGAGGCACGGTCCTCGCCGTCCGGGTTCGACCCCTTTCCCGCCCTGCGCTGGGTGAGCAGAAGGCACCGAGGGCTCCGCTTTGGCGGCCATCAGCATCAGTGACGGTTTTGGCGACAGTCAAGGCAAAGGGTTCCAGCAGCGAATCGTCAGTTTGCAGGCCTGCTCGCCCAGTATGGAACACCCCTCGTCACGGACGAGTCCGTTCCCGTGCACTGCTTCGGTTCTGCGTTTCTCTAAGACACTCACTCCTAACTGACACCGTCCTTTGGAGACGGCCTCCGTGAGGCTAGCCACTGCTGACTCGTAGGACTTCTCGAAGGTGCCCGGGCGTGGCGGTGAGCAGTCCCCACTGGGAGATGCTGT